CAATGTGAACTCATTTTCTAAAAGATTCAAGTCAAATTTGTTATAATTTTATAGTTTATGATGGCCCATAAAACATTAATTTCGCTAAATTATTGAATTAAAATATTAAGCTTAGAGGAATGGCGCTTTAGAATCGAGCCCATTATTAACTTACGTAATCTGTAATTTTGAGTAAAACAATATTTTTTCATTCATTCATTCAATATCATCGTCATCTCAGCCATTATTTGTCCATTGCTGAATATAGACCTCCCCCGTAGACCGCTATAAGGAACGGTCCTGAGCCACCTGCATATCCCTTTTAGACCTGAACGATACGGGCGTGAGTTGTAACTTTAAAAAATTCTAAAACCGCGTGCAATTAATTTTTACGCACGAAGCTGAAATAACATGATAGTGAGATTCTAAACCAGCCAATAAGAAATCATTTTAGCGGTTAGGTGGTGCAGTAGTCTCGTGCGTGCCGGCAAGATGGCTTGGCTCCAAAACACGAAACTATATTTAATGTGAAAGAAAAAAAATCTTGGGTCTGAAAGGGATATATTGACTCCCTGCAATGCATTTGTAGTCATCACTCTATCTAGTGGGGGCTCGTCCTATACAGCGTTTCCCCGTACGGCGTAGCGACTCAACAACCTTTCCACCCCATCGGTTTCCCTTCCCCATCATTAATTCCTAATCTTTATTTATTCGGCTCAAATATAATACGACAAATACTTCATAAATATTTTCTTTATAAATAACTTGAACAGATTATCTTAATAAATTTATAAGGAAATTTATAAAAAAATCTTTTTAACGGAACCATCCATCAAATAAAACAATTCAGCGCAAAGTGACAATTTCCTAGATTCGGCCTCTTAAGCTTTACATTTATTAAATGAGTCAAACAATTTATTCTTTCATATGTGAACAAGGGATCTCTTGTGTACTTATATTTGACTCGAAATTATACATATAAAATGCATTTTTTTTACAACACAGGGGGCAAACGAGCATGCGGCTCACCTGATGGTAAGTGACTATATATATCACCCACAACACCAGCGGCATTGCAGGTGTGCTGCCGGCCTTTTAAAAAGGAATATACTCTTTTCTTGAAGGTTATGTTGTCGTATCGGTTCGGAAATACTGCTGCTGGAAGTTGATTCCAAAGAATGGTTGTGCGTGGAAGAAAGTGCCTTGAAAAACGCACGGTGGAAGACCGCCACTCGTCCAGATGATTGGGATGAAACTTTAGTTTGTGGCGGGTTGTATGGTGGTGAAAATCAACAGCAGGTATCAATCTGAACAATTCCTTAGAACACTCCCCATGATAAAGTCGGTAGAAGATGCACAGAGATGCGTTTACTATATGTGTCTATAATCATAGCTTAAAATTATGTATTTTATATAATAAAAAGTTTGGAAGTAATTGTTTGTCTTGGTATGGACATGTGATACGCAGAGATGAAGAGGACGTTTAAAGAAAAGCATAAAGTATGTATGTGGAACGCTATTTTTTTTTAATGGATGATAATTACATCGTAACCCCACCTGCGCTATCGGTATACACTGGCAGGGTACTAGTGAAGGATGATTGGTGAGGATAAAAAGGCAGGTCAGTTAGACCATCGTGACGAATTAGTCATGGTAGTTTCCAGAGGGATCCACGTGGAGGTCGGCCTGACAGAGTATATTACTTGTAATGAGAACTAACCTCCTCATTACTAACAATTCCTTTCCTCTTGTGGATCGCTATTAGGACAGAAAAAGATTGGCCCTTTAAACACGTGGCGAGCGGGTTCATCGATAGAATCGACATCTCTAGCGAATCCACGAGTTGGAACGAGACATCTGACGTTGCTATCTCATTTTAACTCACGGACTAGCTACAGATGTCGATTCCATTGATGAATTCGTCTGCCACTTGTGTAGAGATCCTAAAATGACATGGATTGATTGTGTGAAAGACGCTAAGGCCAGAATAAAAGGGAATGCGGAAACGACTGGGAATAGAGATGAATGGAAGAGGAAAACATATTACGCCGATCGATAATTGAGATAAGGTCAGGAAGATGATGGTATAATACAAATAGAACTGTTATAGTTACATACAAACTTACTTTAAATTTGGCTTCTTGAAAAAAAAAAAAAAAACTGTTTACTTTGCTAATAAAGGATGATGATTTAATGATAAACTGTACTGTGGACTGTAAAACTGTTATAATTCTCTTTGTAGTTCTTTGAATTTGACTAAAACAAAGTATAGTATAATAAAACACGCGTAAGGTAACGTCGCTGTTGTGGGGGAAAATTAATTGTTAGTAATGGAGACTGAGATCCCCATTGCTAGCAATATACCCAACCAGGTCGACCTCCTCGCGGTTCTCCCTGGAAACTGTCATGATTAATTCCTGATGAATTCATCATGATGGGCTAACTGGCCTGTTTTCATTCTCATCTATAACTTTTCACTGGTGCTCCGCCAGCGTATACCGTTAGCGCAGGCCGGGTTACCATACCATTTTCACCCATAAAAAAAGTCGATGTGACATGAAGTGGCGAACAGTGCCGACTAGTGTTGCCGGGTCCGATTTCCGAGACCGCCCGACGGTTCTCAGTGTTGCCGTTCTATGAAGATTGAACAGTTACTAAACAATTTATCTCCTAAAGGGTTTACATGTACATATGTTAGTGAAGAACGAGATTTTTCGGAACTCCATTTTTTTATCTTTTTTTTTTATACAACTTAGAATGGCAAACAAGCTGACAGCCCACCTGATGAAAAGTGGTAACCGTCGCCTATAGACATGAACAGTACCATGGACATAACAGAGTATACTGTTTCGCACATGATACCTCCATGCTTTGCCATTCCTGAGGACTCAGGTGTTATTCCTCTGTACCCAGTAAATTCACGCCATATCCCACCCTTCAAACCGAAACACAGCCATGCAAACACAACTGCTTTACGGTTGAAATACGAATGGGACCGAGGTACCCAAGCAATCGACTCTTGTACAAAGTCTCCCTCTTACTTCGTACTTCTTATAATTACTCAGGATTTCGGAATAGAATAACTACACTTAAGAACTACACTTATCTAATATCTCGCTCGCACACATCTCATCAATCATATTCGTAAACTCTTTCACTCTTTACTTAACGTCAGTCATCCATCACTGTCACACGTTTCGTTCCCTTTTGAAACATGCCTTTTGAAATTTACTAATTTTTAATGACAATTAACAATTTTAAATTCATGATTAATTTATTCCCTTACATATTTATGATTCGAAGTTCGCAATGTTTACAAAAAAAATATAAAACTTACAGTAGTTTACATTCATAAGTTAATTATAGCTGAGTCGAAATTACTGCCGTTAGTGTAAAATGAATGATTTTATTTTGATGTCATTATATTATAATAAATATAATGAATAACGGCATAGAATAGGCTATCCCTTTCTTTCTCGTGACTGTCGTGTGACGCGATTTAGGGAGGGCGAGGGATGGACAGCAGCGTCCTTCTTAAAACATCTCTAAAGCGGTAGCCAATCCGCTTGCCAAGTGTGGCAACTACGGGCAGAATTCCCCCAGGGAGGCTTATGTTCAGCAGTGGACAATTCAAGACTGATATCATGATGATGATATAATAAATAAATATGTCAATATGTAAGTCACTGGACTTACATATTTTCTAAATAGGAAATTGAATATGTCTGGTTATCGTCTTTCATGTGGTACAGAAGCAGTTGTGTTTGCATGGCTGTGTTTCGGTTTAAAGGGTGTCAGAGAAATAACACCTGAGTCCTCAGGAATGGCAACGTATGGGCATCATGAGTATCATGGGCGAAACAGTATACTCTGTTATGTCCATGGTACTGCTCATATCTATAGGCGACGATTACCACTTCCCATCAGGTGGGCCGTTAGCTTGATTGCCATTCTAAGTTGTATAAAAAAAAGGAAAAATTTACAAAAGCCATCTGGTTGGGTACCTCTGTCCCACTGGTATTTCTACGGTTGTGATTACCACATTTTCATGTGAATGAAATAAATGATAAGTAAACGAGGTAATGAAACTACAGACATTTTAGTTTTCGGGTGTGGAGAGTGCCAGCTCGTGAGTAGTGCTACGGGTGTCACAGCATATTCTACGCTATAGTACCTACAGTTTGTTTTCGTGAACGTTAAAAAATGACAGGTTTTGTGTCTGTGTAATATTAAGTAATTTTTATTGATTTATTTATTTATTAAGTACAAGATACAATGTTATATTAAAAACAGAAAACTAAGTTATAAAAAAATAATTATAAAAGACTAAATATTAAAAAAAGAAACAAACCATAAGTCTTACGGCTTTTCCGTGTGATTAAAATATAATATACCGTAAGTGACTTCATGTCACTTCCTTTCCCGTGGGTGTCGTAAGAGGCGACAAAGAGAACTTAATAGTCAGGACATGAGCAGCAGTGCCCCCCTTAAATATCATGCAAAAGTACAGCGGTTGCTAATCCGACTGCCAAGTGAGGCAGCTACTGGCAAAATCCCCCTTATGGGCGAGGCCTATATTCATCAATGGACAGTAACGGCTGATATCAGCATCAACATAAGCGAACTAAGTAGATATCAAGAAAAACTATTAATTATAGTCCGTTTCAATAGAACTTAATGAAAAGTTAATAAAGTGTCTTTGAAATTATCACAGAAACGCTTTCTAAATGAAATTAGTAACGAATCGAATCGTTCGATTAATTAATCGATTTTTGACTTGGACGTTAATAAACTATTATATGGTTTTATTGTAAAATTTCGTAAGTATCCACTATATTTTAATGCAATAACAACTTAAGTGTATTTTAGTCGAGAATGCTCGACTAGTTTCGTAACTACCCGGGACCCTTAGTTATGAGCGGCTATAAAACACTGGCGTTAGTTGTTATTACATCAAATTATTTGTATTTATTTACTTCATTAGGTTTTGTTAAAACATATAGTGAAATTATTGGACTTACCGAGTCTAGCAAATATACCGTCTAGTCGCGAGAGAAGAGGCGAGTAGAACGGATCATAATTACTTAGTATCATCGAAGAAGCCGGGATTTTATGGAACACCTGTGAAAAAATGACACTTAAAATACATTTATTCATTTACGATAAAAAAGGTCATCGCCCATTACGATGTCTGTTTTGCGGCAGGTTCAATTTTGGTCATGCCATTCAAGATTATGTTTGAGTTATGAGGTACATAACTCCGTCAGGTACAAACCGATTTGGAAAATTATTGTTTATCTGAAAAGACATACTAACAGATCGGTCCCATAGAAGTTTTATCAAAATCGGTTCAGTCATTTAGTTTTTAAACCAAATTCAACTGGTTTTGCCACAATTGAAGTCGTTTTATTTATTTATTTATTTAACACTTTATTGCACCAACATAACAGGATTTGTTGAACAATTTTCGATACGTATATTTGTGAAATACAATATAAAATTATATATCATCATATAAGATTACGCAATGGCGCTTTCATCCCCCTCTTTGTATCCCTTAGCAACATCCCCTAAGGACCTGATCACAACTGTCCTATCTATTGACAAGACGTCGTAAGAGGGAATTAAGAGAACGATCGCCACTAAGTCCAGTTTCCAAATTAATTTACAAAAATTCTTAATTGATTCTTAATGAAAAGTTAGACATTCCAGCAAGTTACCTCTATGTTCCATTTGTCTGCTAGATAGACTGTCATATCTGTCTGTTTACTGTCTATCTATCTATCTATTTACTGTATGGATAATCTGGTAGTATTGTTTTATTGTTACCCTATTCCCTTTGGCCGCAACAGAATATCAGTGCTTTGTTCTTTTGAGGGCGAAGCAATAAACTGAGTTGTGACCATTTTGTATTGTTATGGCACACGCACAAACGAAAAATTGTATTTAGCTTTATGTATTCTTTTTTATCATTTATGTTATCTCGCTTTTTATGTATATCTATATATGTTGTGATTTGTGTGCTGTAAGTAATGCAAAATAATAGAGAGTAGAAGAGGCGAAATGCTGGGCCACCTTATACGACATGACGCTTTTTTTAAGAGCATTGTAAAAGGAAAAATAGAGGGCAAAAGAGGAAGAAGAAGACCGAGGAATAACTACATCGGACAGATAAAAGAAATAGCAGGTGTCATGTCGTATAGGGAGATCAAGGATATGGCTTGGATGCATGAATTAGTTGCACCGACAAGAGGAAACTCTTAAATGAAAAAAAAAAAATAATGCAAATAAATTATCTATCTATCTATCTAAAAGTGCAAAATAGTGATGCAAGAGAAGAAAAATTCGAAATAAAAACCTTCATCAACCCTCCTTGTCAACGTGATAATAGTAACCCACGTCATTTTTTCGGAGACTTATTCTCTGTTGGGGGTCATTAATGAATCGTTCAGGTAAATTTTGTTTTTATACAATAACGTAACAATAAATACATACATAAAAATAGATAGATACAATTTATTGAAATAAAATTTTTATTCTTTCATTCATTTATACGAAAATTAACAATCGGTCATGACTTTGTATGTGTGGTGTGGTTTTTTTTAAAGTAGAAATAAAAAAAAAATCTTATTTTAACAGATATTTACCTACACTAATATTATAAATTATAAAGAGGGAAGATTTGTATTTTTGTGTGTATGTATGTTTGTAATGAATAAACTCAAAAACTACTTTGTCAATTTCAAAAATTCTTTCACCTTTAGAAAGCTATATTCACCCTGAGTAACATAGGCTATATTTATTGCTAAAAAAGAGTAGGGATCTAAATTAAAGGGAAATTTTTGTAACGTAACTCAAGGTGTAAAAAAATGCTATAAAATATCTTTCGTCGCGTGCGCTGCGGAAACTTTTAGTGATAGAACAAAAGTATGTTCTACAATATTAAAGAAATTATCGATGTCACAATAACCACTTTTTTAAAATGATGAAAAAATGTCCATACGTACGCCGGGACGGGCCGCTAGTGTTATAAAATAAATCTATGTTCCAAATATTAACTTTTTCGACTTAGAAGTTTATTATTTTAGTTTTGATAGTCAATTGGGATAAATGACTTTATAAATATAGACTTATCAGGACAGTTCAAAAACAGTTGCCAATCTACTGTTGATTACATGTCTACATTGTAAACTGTCACAAGAAAACAGCTTAAATATATATATATATATATATATAGACAAATATACGAGAACTTTTTACCTTATAGTTATTGCTAGCTGCATTTATTTGGTTTTGATAATATCCATTTTTCGTGGGTAGATACGTTGCTTTTTGGTCGCCATATCTGAAAAAGTAAATACATTTATATTACCTAAATGTATACAATAAAATGAGGTACGGAAGTATAAGAAAAATAGTCCTCAGGAATGGTAATACAAGCAGGATATCATGGATATTATAGTATATTCTGTGACTAGCTATATCCTGCAGTTTTGTCTATGAATTAGTACAAAACGTATCCTATGTTAGCTAAATTAGGATATAACCTATCAGTGAACCAAATTTCATTTAATTCCGTTCAGTAGTTTTTGCATGAAAGAGCAACAAACATCCATCTAGCTTTATAAATTTTCGCATTTATTATATTAACAGGATATCTATGGTGCTGTTCATGTATATAAGCTACAGCAAACATGACCACTTTCCATCAAATAGGCCATCAACTTGTTTACTATTCTCCATTGATGATCTCTGTGGTGCAGTAGTTCGATTCAAGGTTAGGCTAATTTAGGATATGTATTTTTTTAATTGACTGGATGCTCTATGTAGTGTTTAAGACCTTAGATTATATAGATAGAGTGTCTCCATAGAAATGCTTCGAGTAAAACGGAGAAACTTTTCTGTACAATTTTGCGTGATATGTAAATAGTTATGAGTGATTCCTTTATAACTTCTATATTTATTTTGTTTTATAATTTTTGCATCTTTTCAATGCGCAAACACTCATTTTATTTGTTAAATAATACGTCAAGGTAAATTTTTTGCGTAAATATATACAATACTGATAAAAAAAAAACGAGTCAACTAATTTGACAATTCGTCATAGTCGTAGAATACTGACGTATCTGACAAATATTACATATAAAGATCCGTCAGTATTCTACGACTATGACGAAATACCTGTCAAAAAGTTGACCCGTTTTTGAGGCTCGATGCTCTATTTATATACTTTAAGCATAGGACATACGCTGCCTGGTTTCTTATAATATTACCAGATGGTTGGTGTAATTGTGATATTACTATTATTTCTTTATATTATTTATGTTACAAAACATTATTATTTAAGTTACAAAACAAAAATAATATAATAAACGACCAATGCAGACTATTCATATGCACAGAAAAAAAAAATTTACGGCCATTGGTTGTTAATTAACGTTGAAAATAAAGCTGCTGTATCCCATGATGGATGATCCAAACAACTTTGTATGTAATTTTTTATCCGATTTACTCTCCAACAATGGCGGGGAAAGCATAAGAAACGCAAACAAAAACTTACGTTTTTCCAGACAAAAAACTAAGCTATATTAATGAATCTTTTCATGATTAATTTAGCCATACAATTGTCCTTCCACGGTTGTGTTTTAGCATTGAAATAACGTTCCTTTATGTATGGGTTTAGTTTTAAGATGTAAAATTACAGTGTACGGTATTATACCAGCCGTTAACTGCCCACTGTTGAACACAGGACTCCCTATAAGGAGGGTATTTTTTTTAATGGGTGATAATGGAATAGTAACCCCGCCTGCGCTATCAGGATACGCTGGCGGGGCACCAGTGAAGGATGATAGGTGAGGATAAACCAGGTCAGTTGGCCCATCGTGACGAATTCAACACGAATTGTTCACGATGGTTTCCAGGGGGAACCACGTGGAGGGACGATCTAATAAGGTATATTGCTAGCAATGGGGCTGTCAAACTCTATTGCTAATAATCCCCTTTCCCCCCCATGAGGAGGGTATTGTCAATAGTTGAAACGCTTGGTAAGCGGATTGACAAGCGCAGGAAGTCTTTGGTGATGTTTTAAGAGGGACGCTGTCTATCTCTCGACTATTAAGCTCCTTCAGTCGTCTTTTACGTTACCCACACGAATTTTTTCTTATATATGTATCTTACAAGATATTCGTTTAATAATTATTTTTGTGTATATCGAATTTACATTAATTGTCACATTAAATACGTAGCTGTTTTTTCGCGGACTAAAATCTTAAATATTACGTTATTTAACATAGAATAAAATTAAATAATAAAAGAAAGTTCGTCTTTTGTACAAAAACATTTTTTTGGTAATGTTGTCAATAAAGACTAAATAAATAAATATAAAAATAAATTAATATTTATTATTAAAAGTATGAATTTAATTATAATAATATATAAGGTAATAAATTGAGGAAAATAACGAGAAAAAAAATGATATAAATAAAAGAAATGTTTTAAAAATACATTTTGTATTAGGTATATCATCAATTAGTAAATAGCTTTTTTTTATTTGTATTGATGTCTCATCGAAAACTTTTACAATATTGCAAACATCAATCGATTCTTATCATTTATTTACTTCCAAAAATATAAAAAAAACTCTAACGAATTAATTAACTAATGAATATTAATAAAAAGGTAATAATAATAAAAAAAAACCTAAAAGCGATAAATAACATACTAGGTACGCAAAATAAGTGATAAAACACCACCGAAATCTACAAATTGAATACGGAACGATGTTCATTGGAAGGCAATTTATTTGCAAATTGTCCTTATTATTGAATAACTGAGATTGGCTTCTCCTGTAACCGGCGGTAATGTACTTATTTGACTAGAATAGGTAAATGTTCGTAGCTGGTAATTTGTATGTCGGAAAGAATGTAATGATTAATTCAGCCATAGGATTTCTTTGTATACTTAGAACCATCCATGTATATAAATAGTTACAAATAAACATCACTAGGTGTAGCGGTCCAACAGATCCCTTTGGGGGGGGGGGGGGGGAAAGGATAGTTAGTAATGGGATCTAGCAGCCTCATTGCTAGCAATATATTTTATTAGGTGGAACTCCACACAGTTATCTCTGGAAACCATCGTGGTTAATTCTTGAATTCGTCAAAATAGGCAAACTAATCTGCTTTTATTCTCACCTATCATCCTAAGCCTGTGTTCAGCAGTGGACGGTTTTTTTTAATGGGTGAAAATGGATTGGTAACCCCGCCCGCGCTATTGGTATACACTGACGAGGCACCAGTGGAAGATGATAGGTGAGAATGAATGCAGGTTAGTTGGCCCACCATGATGAATTCGACAAGAATTAAACATGATGGTTTCCAGGGGGAACCGCGTGGAGGTCAACATGAGAGGGTATATTGCCAGTAATGGGGCTATTAGACCCCATTACTAACAATCCCTTTCCCCCCTGCAGTGGACGGTTAATGGCTGATATGATGATGGTGATTACTAGCAGTATTTTATTTATTATTTTTATAATTAACTAACTATAAGTACGTGTATATAAATAATTAGTGTTAAAGTAATACACTGTTTTATTAGATTTTAAACTATCATGCCATAATTTTATCGCTAGCATATCCACTGAACGGTTATCAAACCATACATATACATACACATTTTATTTATTTATTTTTTAACTATAACATTTAAGTCGATTGGTACATATTTATGATTGTTACTACTAATAAAATGTCAGTTTTTCTCATATTGGGTTTACTAGAAGAAATCTCTTTTAGAGATAAGTTCGCCTTTGTGTACCATTATGTTTGTTTTTTTTTTTTTATTTCAATAACCTTTTGTGTATAATAAAGAATAAAGAACACATAGATATTTTTTTCCCACTGTTCCGTGGTTTATAGTTGACCATGTTGTTTTGTAAACATTGGGAATATTTTACCAGAGGAAAACTTTGCACAAAGTTACTTATATGGCTAAGTCCCATCCGTATTTCTGTCGTGAATTAACTGTGTTTGTATGACTGTGCTTAGCTTTGAACGGTATAATATAGTAGTAAAATTACGGGATTCGAAGGCATAACATCGTAGTCTTTAGGACTGGCAATGTATGAGTGATATCGTCAATTAAAAAAAATTGACATTTTTCATGATCAACCACAATCGCTTAAGGGTAAACTATTATTTAAAATATTGATTTCAGTCAGCCCTAAATTTTTATATATATTTTTTTATATCTATAAACATCAGACCAGAGGGAGACTTTGTACAAAAGTCGTTCGCTTGGGCACCTCTGTCCTATTCGTGTTTCTAACGTGAAGCAGTTGTGTTTGTATGGGTGTGTTTCGGTTTGAAAGGTAGGATTTTGGCAGTGAATTTACAGGGAGCAAAGAAATAACACTAAAGTCCTCAGGAATGGCAACGCATGGGGGGTATCATGGGCGAAACACAATACTGTGTTATGTTTGTTGCGACGGTTACCATTTTTCATTAGGTGGACCGTCAGCTTGTTTGCTGTTCTTTGTTGAATAAAAAAAAAACTTTTTGTGTCAATGTATAATTTCAGTATTTACCATAAGCTGTTCTATTCCATCGTATTCTATGATTTCCATATCGTTGTTTATATCTATATCAATTGTTATCACTTTTCATCAGGTCAGCCATTAGCTTGTTTGCTATTCTAAGTATCGTAAACAAAATTGTAAAATAATAATTGTTGGTTATTTTCGAAATCATCGCCATCTTAGGGAAAGACGTATGCCTTAATACAGTTCATCTTAAACTCTATCAAGTCTCTGTTATAGATATCATGCTAGACAAAAATATACATTTACCTGGACATGTCGATATTAGATAAATCATTGTCGTTGGGATCAGTGTTGTAGAAGCCATTTCCATCTTGGGGATAAGCATAGGATCCAGCAGGGTTCGTCTCGTAACCCATAAAATCTTTGTTGTCATTATTGTAACCGATTTGGTCATCAGTATTAGCAGGTGGGTAGCTGGCTTGACTGGATGTAGCCGACAGTTGAGAAATACCTGAAAATTAATTTGATCAAATGTAGATTCTACAGAGATTTTGCACGAAATAATTTGAATGGATACTTCTGTTTTACTTGTTTTTCTACCATCAAGCTTTAGTATATATTTACATGAATAATTCGATTGAAAGAAATGTGTTAAAATTACTAGGTATGGTATTATAGTGGAGTACTGTATTGACGCTTCGTGGAGTTTGGAATAATACATTTACGAGTACTTGTATTACTTCCATAGATTTTTATATAACCTAGTTGGTGTCGCTGCATCTATCGAGGCATTAATCACCTGGATGGAAAATTTCACAAGCACAGAAAATGTAATATTTACATATATATTACTTACATCTAAAATTTCAATACTAATTTCATACATCAAAGGTAACTTTTGCTTTTTACTCTATATTACTATATTTCATTATCAACAGTTAATTTCAGAAGACACTCAGTGTGAAAACGTAAACATTCCAAAAACTAAGCGCCAGACTGTTTAAGTACAGACTTTGGAAGGATTTTCTCTCTCAAGCTGTGAGAAATTACTTTTAATTATAAGTTACAGTAACGTGAAAGCAAAGTTGACACCTTCAATGAAGCTAAAGACTTTTAATTTTGCTTACCTTTGCCGAGAATTTTGCCAAAACTTCCCAAGATGCTTGGCAGGAACATTGCGAATAAAATAGACTTGATCAAAACTTGTCCCCCAATTAGTAGAGGCACAAAAAATTTGTTCAGCCCAAACGCTGTAAGTTAAAAACACCGATTGTGAATAAAAGGTCCTAAAAACTCATTTGTTAAAGTCAACTTTTACTATTTGTTTTATTTCTTTGCCCCGTTTAAACGGATTTTAATTAGGATTACTCTTCAACGCTATTAGCATTTCCATTTCAAGTAAGTACTTATGTCAACTTCCTACAAAAATGTCCTTACCGTAGAAAAAATAAAACAAGATAAATAAAAGTACAAATTAATATTGTAAAACATTGATTTTGATATAAAATGTTATTAAGACAAAAATAGACAAATAGTCAACAAATAGTCTTAGACTTTCTAATATAACAGACTTCATAATTTCTTAAAATATAGATAGATAAATATTCTTTATTGCTTCTTCCAAAAGATTACAGTAGTAAAGTTATTATAGATACAAAAAATATAATAAAATGTAAAAAAAATTTGACTATGAGAAAGTGTTCACATAATACGGAAAACGTTATCACCCAGTGTATTTAAGCTTTTACGTCGAGCGAGGAACGCTTCAATACTCAGGTCATTACATGACAGGACCCTTGGACTTAAGCCTTATTAATGTAAATGCATTGGGGGCCCATGGACCTATAACTAAACGTAATCTAAAGAGAAGTAGAACATTTATACTTACATCTAAAACCTATATATTTCGCTGCTTTCGGTAAATTTATCGACAAAACATGATTTTCTACGAAATTTTTTAATTTTTGCAGTATTCTGTATTCATATGTATATTTACTAAAAAGAGCTCTGCCTTCTGAAGTAACATCATTTTTCTTTTGTAATTGACTCTTCTCTTCTTTGTCGATTGGCTTTATTTCAACACCTTCAATTATTTCGTAACGATCATTGCCTAGTACACTGTCAACTATATTTTCTACTTCATTTTCAAGTTCGCTTTCAGTCGTATTAACAAGTAAATATCTTTTTGTAAAAGTACCTAAAGTAATAATAACATTATCTACAAAATGTTCTGCCTCTGTAGGCTTAGTATTGTCTTTAGTTCTGTTATCATAATCAAATTTGTTACTATTAGTTTGACAGCTATGGCAATGATTAGAATCTACTTCTATACCTACATTTACAACTCTTTTGGTTATAGTTTCATTTTGACTGGGCTCTGTATTTTGACAGTTGGCCTGTATTGAAAATAATATTATGTACAGTATGACTAGGAGGCCTCTGTCCGCAAACCTCCATTCGCATCGTCTACTAGACGTTTTTAGTGTTCTTATTTCTTTTATCAGATCCATCATCAAATGATATTATTACAAACTTCATCACCGAATGTTGATTGAATGCCCTTCAAGGAATTGTCTGCTACAGTAAATGTCTGGAAATCCTGTAACAAAGAAATAATTTTATTAGTTTTTAATAATTTACAACAGAATGTAATATTTGTCACAATTTGGGCAACACTGGTAATTTCAATTTTTTTTATATTTGTACATACTGTCGTTTGCTTGTTTGTAATGAACAATTTTGTAGAATTTGCTTTTAAAATGTATGTAATGACCCATTGTGTATAATTTTGGAAGAAATGAACTAAAACGCATTTAATACGATGCTGATTAACATGACTTTTCTGAGAAAGTGCCTGTTTAGGGCTATAAAAAGCATGGTATTAAGTTAATAGTGTCTCTTGTGGAAGAAGACATTAATTAGATAAGACATATTAGGTCAACCCCAATTTTCCTCATGGCTGAGTATGATTTATTTTTATGTTTGTTTGATTTACTAGAGGGAGACCTTGTATAAAAGTCGTTTGTTTGTGCACCTCGGTCCCATTCGTGTTTCTACCGTGAAGTAGTTGTTTGCACGGCTGTGTTTCGGTTTGAAGGGTGGGACATGGCAGTGAATATACGAGGTACAGAGGAATAACACCAGAGTGCTCAGGAACAGCAACGCATTGGAGTATCATGGGTGGAACAGTATACTCTGTTATATCCATTGGTACTGTTCATGCCTATATGTGACGGTTACCGTATTCCATCAGGTGGGCCTTCAGTTTTCTAAGTTCTGTTGTTGTTAAGATGTTAAAAAAATGTCAGTATTTATATAACATGTCAGTGTTTGTTGATAACGTGATAGTAACATGGGAAATCAACATCATCCTGAGCTTCTATAAGGGGGTCGCGGAAGGTCGCGAAACAGTGAAAAAGCAACAGTTCCGTAAATATATCAATCAATCAATAATACATAATGAAGTATGTATAACAGACATCGATTACATATTTGTTTTAAATACTTTATTATTTAATATTTAATTTACCTAACTGTGAATGTAAAACTGTACGGATTTCATAATTGTATTATAATATATAATGTAAATAAATATAAATATATACGGACAAATCACACAGATTGAGCTAGCCCCAAAGTAAGTTCAAGACTTGTGTTATGGGATACTAACTCAACGATACTATATTTATAATAGATACATATATAGATTTTTACGTTTTTCCATCATGACCTGGCCGGGGATCGAACCCTGGACCTCCACGTCGCAGGCAGGCGTGTTGACCGCTGCGCCACGGAGGACGACAAACGACGACGACAATAAAATTAATACACATTCGAAACCATAAAAGGTAAGGGGTCGTATATAATTTAATTGATATTATTTAATTGATTGTTTAATTATGATATTATTTAATGCAAATTTTAATTACAAACAAGCTGTTATTTTTGATACAATGTAATACGTGAAGGTAGACGTGTTTTAATTAGAAATTTAACCCAGTTATACACGTGTGAACAATGCATTGTTAGACTTTTAACTTTTACGATAATACTTTCACAGTAAATCGATACCACTCTCCGTTTGACTTCCCATCAGAGGTTTAATGGGCTATAAACAGAGGATAAAATGGAAAATATGCATGAAAAGTTAAAATTGGTTAGGAATATTATGATATTTGATTTTTTATATGTATTTCTCTTCATAAAATAGGATGAAATATATCCTATGTATTCGTATCTTTTTTTAATGGATGACAATGGAATAGTAACCCCGCCCGCGTTATCGGTATACACCGGCGAGGCACCAGTGCAAGATGATAGGTGAGAATGAATACAAGTCAGTTGGTCCACCATGATGAATTCGACAATAGTTAAACATGATGGTTTCCAGGGGGAACCGTATGGAGGTCGACCTGAGAGGGTATATTGCTAGTAATGGGGCTATTAGACCCCATTACTAACAATCCCTTACTCCCCATATATATAGTTGCATTAGCTCATATCGGATTCAAATTGAATTTTTTTAAATTTGAATGATATTTCGCTATTATTTTAGGATTTAAATCAATCATGGTTAAATAACAGAATAATAATTTGAATTAAATTTACTATATAGATACATCAATATATTTTATTTTAATTCATGCGAAACAAAGTCGCTAAATACAACCGAAACATAATGTACATAAGGTAATGAAATATTTCCTTTGTTTACGAAATCAATCGCAAAATTATTAAATACGTATTCTGAATATAATATGATTATTTCGATTATTCGTAATCGAAAATCGATCTCTTTTGATCCTTGCTACCTCGGATAAATTAATTATTACTGTTTTGTATAACATAAAACAGTATTAATTCTAGAGATAATACGCTCCGGGGTACGATCATTTCTTGTAAATAATAACCTTTATATCGAAATATTTACTAAATATAAACATACTAGCTTTTATTCGCGTCTTCGTCTGTATGACTGAGATATCTTCAAATGCTGGGATAAAAAGTAGCCCATATTCTTCTCCATTCCATACAGTATGTGTATACCAAATTTTATTATGATTGGTCAAGTCGTTAAGCAGCTATAATGCAATAAATAAACTCACATTCACATTTCTAATATTATTAAAGATTCTTAATAATAAATGCGAAAATAAATTTATTTGTTTGTTACACTCTAACAGCCCAATTAATCATCAAGAAATTTTATATACATTTAGTGTTTGCTGTATTTACATTATTTTCACTGGTACCTTTCCTGCACTGGATTACCCAAATTAAATTATTTTCTCTCTAACTACACTGGGTTGGCTGGAAGAGATCTCTTTCAGAGATAAGTCCTCCCTTGCTAACAAATTGTTAAACTAATCGTCGCATATATTGTTTAAGTGCAATAAAGAATATATATATTATTTGGAAGTAAGGAGGAGATAGGCATAAATAAATAAATAAGTATATTTATATTTTATTTATAGTCATGTAAAACGGTAAATCAACATATCCTGGTCATGAACAAAGTCGCGAGTAAAAGTTAGTCTTTATTTTTTCTTATAATGCTCATTAAAATTTTTTCATTACGGAAACTTTTCCAAAGTTTCCTATTGCACGTCAAGTGGGTGTGATCACAAAAAGACTGTAAAATAAGTTTCCAAATACTTTATCGTTTCCCCAACAGATTATGCTTTGTGAAAAATGTTCAATCACAATGGTCGAAGTCTCTTAAAAGGATGTTAAACATTTTTATTTTATCCTCAATTAAATGTGAAAGTTTAAATGGCGGAAAACAATAAACGAAATTGTTACTAATAATATAAATGTGAAAGTGCGTTTGTTTGTTGCTTCTTAACGTTTTAATTGGTTGATCGATCGTCATGAAATTTCGTATACAGAAATAAACCTACTATTTACTACTACCAGAGGGAGACTTTGTACAAAAGTCGATTGCTTGGGTACCTCTGTCCCATTTGTGTTTCAACCGAAAAGCAGTTGTGTTTGAAAGGTGGCATCGCTCGCCATCGACAGGGAATTCATACTCACACGCTTGAACGTAAACGGTCATGTACAGTGCGGTTTGAATGGAATTTTCCCATGCAAATGCATAGACTGTGGAATGAGCTCACTTTTGAGGTTTTCCCTAGAGACTATATGGGGTTATATGGGGTATGTGTGGGGTTCTTCAAAAAGGGTGTATTAAGGTTTCTTCAGGGTCGGCAATGCGCACGTGACACCCCTAGAATAGCAAGCGTCCATAGCCTACAGTGACCGTTTGCCATCAGACAGGCTGTACGTTTATTCGTCACCTTTGTGGTATAAAAAATATATAAGGAACGTGATTAATACGCATTCGTTTAAAATTTTTAATTGTTAATGAGATATTTGACTGTTCTAAGCTTGTTAAAGTAATAAGGAAAGTTAATTCTGTCGGTACCTGAGTAAAATCCCGTATATTAAAAAACGGATTTTACAGGAGCGCAGTTTGAAATTTTAAATACGTACAATTACAAAAGTTCAACTTGAGGTCTACTAGAAGGAGACTTTGTACAAAAGTCGTTTGCTTGGATACCTCTGTCCCATTTGTGTTTCAACCGTTGTGTTTGCATTGCTGTGTTTCGGTTTGAAGGGTGGGGTATGGCGTGAATAACAACTGAGTGCTCAAGAATGGCAACACATGGGGATATCATGGGCGAAACAGTATACTCTGTTATGGTACTGCTCATGTCTATAGGCGACAGTTACCACTTTCCATCAGGTGGGCTGTCAGCTTGTTTGCCATTCTAAGTTGTATAAAAAAAAATGTTTTAAGAGGAATGCTGCTGGCCATCCTTCGGTCATATATATATATATATATATATATATATATATATATATATATATATATATATATATATATATATATATATATATATATATATATATATATATATATATATATATATATATGATGCAGACGTTTTTTATCATAGTCAAAATCATTTTAAAACTAGACAGAAACAGAAATAAATAATATAATTATGGTTTCTTTTCAGTTTGTAATTGATAACATTATATTATTTCCATTCATTTTTTTATTATTAATATTGCTGGCATGTAAAATACTTCATTTTATACTAGCAAATCGTCTTAGTTTAGCATGGTCTTTTTAAATAAAATATAGTCCATTTTAATAACTGATAATGAACCTTTCTATAAGTGAAAGATATTTTAAAATCAGTGGAGTAATTCTTGCCTTTATTACATATTGACTATTATACAAAAAAAAATATTTATATTTATTAGTTTATTTTACCTAAGAGCCCAGAAATAGACAAGATGAGGGAATTAAATAAGGCATTATATTAGTAAGGTTACAATTAAACCTGCCCATTAATAATCTGGCTACTAGCTTCAAAATTAGATTAATCACTGCCTATTGGAAATCTCATTTATGTGATTGATTTAAGTAAACCCAGTGAATCCTACAAATAGGTTTTATTTTGACGTATATTTTATTTTAGTCCAATTTTAGAGGTAGACATGTAGATTTTCAATTTGTTAACCGTCCACTGTTAAACAGAAACCTTATCTTTGGAGGGTTTTGCTAGTAATTGCCACGTTTGGCAG